CAAGGCCATTGTAATAACGACATCTTCTCGTGCTTTCTTTTGTGTTTGCTAAGGTCTTTGCTCAGGAGAATCTGTTATAAAATAGATCAGCGGTTTTCGCTTTRAATTCAAAAATGGAGTATTATCATACTAATTAATAGGATGTTTAATCATAATTAATATTCTATGGCCTACGCTGTCCACCTGTCTGGAWTCAGACTTGTTTGGTGACGTCTTCGCTGATATCGATGGGTGTGTCTTGTGAACACGTTTGTTGTAACAACGATTAAAAGAATGGTTCAATTTGGTTCACTCAATTTGTCAAGATTACGTCCTTTCCTAAACAAAGTTGAATACGACGTACAACGCTTTTCATCGATAAACATTGCAAACAAACAATCTCTTTTAATATCTATGTTTAAAATTAAAATAAAAAAAATTAAATTATTTTTAATTTTTTTTATAATTAAATTATTATTAATTTTTTTGCCGAAACTATGTAGATCTATAATTTCTCAAAAATGCAAATGCAATCAGCAATCTCTAACAAACGAGCATCTTTCGATTAGTTTGGCGAGTATTCGTTTTAACAGCTACTGATAAAATATTCAAAACTGATTAATGAATCCTGACAATAGCTACCGATACTGACAAAGTTTTATCCCGTCTAAAATATTTCACGGCTACATATAGCAATAAAAATACGTCTCAGCTTGGTTCATTGCAGAGAAATTACAGTGTTTCACAGAGAGACGAAAGTCAAAACATCTAGATATCATACAATATTCTGTGATACCTATATTTCTCTCTTTAGAAAAGTTGCTATTTTTGCAAGAGTGAAAATAACGCATTCGTGGTTTCTTAATAAATTTTAAGTTAAAATAGGTATTTTACTACATAAATTTGCTTTCATTGATAATTATACCATAAACAGAATATTACATGATCGCTTGGAGATACAAATTTTATCTTCTCGTGTTGAAATTCTGTCACTCGTTCGCTAGGATCACTTGTAAGATATTTTTWAAAAAACTCGAATATAAAATCCGTATCTCCGCGATCCCATGTAATATCCTCTAAGATAGATACAAGAATCTCCATTTATTCATTTTAAGTAGCATATGTGTGTATGTATGTGCGATCTGTTGTAGTTATTTGACTGTGGTTGACCACACCAACGTCATTGTTTCTATGGAAACAAGGGAGGGGTTAGTCTTTGGGTGTGGTTGATAGAAATCAACAATGATCATAACAATTTCATGTTTTTAGAACTTCATCACGAACGTCTTCCTATGCAGTGTTATTATCAGTTCTCAAACTTGTAGCTATTGTCCCATGTATTACGTTACTTTTCATGGCAATATAGGTATTCCTTGTTCTTAAAAATTCCTTCTCGAAGGACAATAAAAACTCCCGATCAGCTACTTATAAACGCCTTCAAAATGTGTATTATAGGTACACAAGAACCAATATGCAGACCCAATCGACGTTTAGATTCCTTCTTATTTGTAATTCTTCTGTTCATTTGTTTATTCATTTTACTTATTTTTTTGTTTTAATTGTTGTTTTGATTTACCTTTATGTTTTTAGGACGAAAGATAATCCAAACAATCTCAATTTGATTGATACTCAATCAAGAATTGATAAGACAGATTCCTCTGGTTTCTGTTTTACTTTGTTATAAATGGGACTAATTATGAGAGAATGTCTCAAAAGAAAAGAGATAAACGACATTTATTTAACAAAAACATTGTTCTATGACGTTTTGGGGCGAAATGTGTAAACACCCAAATTTTTATATCACTGCTTTCATCCAAATTGCTTTRTTTCCTATCCCTTTATGGTCTAAGGAATAAGTGTACTTTGTACAACAGATAAACTAGTATTGACGCAGCTACCGCCCACCCGGAATTGATGTATTCCACTTTTCCGACTAAGTTCCATAAATAGATTGTTGATACTGCGTATGTACTAGTCGATCCTTAGTTTACGACGTTGCATTACATATCAGAGCGTCGGCCAAAGAGAAAACACAAKAATACAAGGTAATGCAATACTCGAGTTTCTTATTTAGCTTTGACCTCTCGCATATCACTGTCTCAGTGTCTAGAAATGTATCTTTTGAGGCCAGCGGGATGCAATAACACGACCTAGTTGCTAAATTGACCCTGCAGCCTCAAAAGTCGGCCTTTCACTAGAACAAAAATAGCCTGAAAACAGTAATATAAGGTGTAGTAGTAGATTCACTCTTACTGAGCCGGTCCGTACTCGTTTCAATCAATCTCAGCAGTGGTTTAGAGCTATGTTAAGAAAAGGTTGTTGTAGAATGCGTGGAGAGTGTGTGAGGGTGAATGATCGTCAATCGATTAGGATTGTAATCTTGATGGGGTAAGGTCCCGTTCACACGTCTATCTTTTGCCGCGTCTAATATAATTACTTACATGTAGCTCACGACAATCTTGCAGTCTAAAGCAATTACTCCAGTTTCCAATTCATAGCGAAAMGGCTGCTTTATTTGACAACAGATTCTCTTGCGCAAAGACCTGACCAAACACAAAAGAGAGCACGAGAAAATGTCCTTATTACAATAGCATTGAAAACTGCATTTTTTCCCCGTGTTAAGAGTAACCCTGTATTCCCATAAGACCTAAGATATGAGCCTTCTGGGACTTCTGGGATACTTATAATACAGGCTTAAGCCTCAACTCGGGGAAAATGTAAATTCTAGCGCTATTGTACTTACAATACTTTCTCGTGCTTTCTTTTTTGGTTTGGTAAGGTATTTGCGTAAGATAATCTGCTGTCAAATAAAACAGCGGTTATTCGCCTTGAAAAATGGAGTATTGACGTATGTACGGAATATAATGAGTTCGTCTAGCCGAACGCAAAATCTACCAATGTCAAGAAATTCACAGTACAAAATGCGCATAAACTCCAACAATTAGATTAGACGCGACAAAGGATCGACTTCTGAACCGAAGCTATCATTCGATCGTGCGACACTTACATCTACCCATTACTATGATCTACCTCGACAACCGCTATTGAAATGGCGGTTTCTAATGTTTCATTCTTTCAAATCGATTTTCCATTTTTGTCAATTATCTTTTTATTTTTTCGTATTTTCTGCCTATCGTTTTCCCTTTCTGCGGTATTTTTTTCTCGTTATTTTACGTTCAATTTAGATATATCTAAATTAGTAGATGTGACTGCACTGTCCTTTACATTGTGGTTCACTTTGAATTAAGCTCTCAATGATAAGAATCCTTGAATATGTATGTTGAGGCCTAGCCTTACGATTCTGCTGATATRCAAAATCTTAGCATCGAAAGGAATCAATTTATGACAATAGATAGCTCTGTTTATAAACACTTCTTGCTTCAGTCAAAACAGTCATTGTAAAAAAATACCAGCACAGATTGAAGATTATGGACAACATAATCTGAACATGTTCTGGCAGACTGTTCGATGAGTTTTTAGGTAAAACATACAAGTCGACGGATCGCTATGATTAATTAACATTTTTTTACTAAAACTCGTGCAGTGCAGTCAAAACACCCATTAAACGAATATGGGAAATACGTAAACATAAGAATTTATGACAAGTCACTGAACTTGAACTTCTCTGAAAGAGAGGCCATTCCGTGATGCCATGAGAGGATGGATTTGTACGGCAGTGTCAGAGGGTAGGTATAACGTGATTTCTTCTTCACCGTTATGTTCACTGATCCYATTACAGCTAACACGTGACTTAATCTCATCAATGAGTGAAGTATAAGCGAGGGAATTTCATGTTCGTTTTTACTCTGTTAAGAGCCTTTTGTTAATGACAATAGACACAATTTCCTGCTGGAGAAAATYTTTTTGTTTTATTACACTCCTTTTGCTGTTCATTCACAGTAAACGAATGTTCATGAAAGCGAAGACACAATGTCTATATAGCGAACAGGCAAACAAGAACGCGAACGCACTCTCAAGAGAGCGATGGCAAATTAATTAGACTGAAGTCATAAAACCCGTGAAATATGTATTACCATAATACACCTTAGTACGCTCTAATTTCATTGTTTTCTTTTGATTCTATTTTACTATCACATTTTAATAGTCAGGTTTTGTTTCACGGGTTTAATGACCAACTAGCGTTTTCGTGCAAACAATTTATAAACAAAAGCACTCATTCAATATAACGTGTTCTGGACCGTTTATTTGCGCAACAGCATACAACGTTGAACAGAACTCTTCCATGAATTATCTTTATTTGCTCTAGTGACAATGTTATTTCGATTGATTGGATATTTTTGTGCGGTTAATGAACAGCGATAGGTGTATTTAACCACAAGCATGGTTGCCATGAAACCACATGATGAACGCTATTTCTGCTATTTCACAGTTTTATTATATCGACTTTCCTTTTTTCCTGCATATCAAAGAACGAAGTCAGATCTATTGTTATTTGTACTGAATTGTCCAATTGTCTCAGAAGAAACTAACTCACGTACAACATAATATTACTGAATATGATGATAAAAAAAACCAGTTTCCTTCGTTCATTTATTGGGGGAATTGCAATGGAATCAAAATTCATAATATTAACAATGTACAAAAACGTTTCAAAATTCTACGATAAAATAAAAACACATGCTATAATTAAATTACGCAGAATGTGCAAAAAAATAAAAACACGAACAAACAAACAAACAAATCAAAATTGAATGATTTCGCAATTTCAAAAATATTTGCAAAGACATGTTTCAAGAATTTTCGCGAAATTCGTAGTCCTTGAGTTGGCGTCAATAAGCACATCATACAAAGTACTGTACGTGGGAAATGATTCATATTGACCTTACCGGAAGCAAACGCTTGTGGCTAATGATGCACAATGCAGAGTGTTACACGTGGTTTACTCATTGGTACCGGTCATTGGCATCTGATATCCGCTTGATAACCAGCTTAACTTATAACGCACTTAGACTAAATAACTCTCAAATTGGCGCTGAGAAAATATAACCAATACCTTTATGTAAAATGAGCCAGTCCGTTAATGTCCTATGAAGTACTACATGTGAAGACAGAGAGATCTTCGTATAATCACTAAAACTAACAAAGGACTTGAGCACTTCCGGTTCGCTGGCTATTCAGACGAGCTCTGAAAAAGCGTTGTTCGTGCAACGAAATGTGAGTATCCTAGTCTTTCTGCCTCTTTAAGGTCTCTTAATAACCCCTATTAGCGTTACTAGTATCAAACTTTTGACGTCATTGTGTACACTGGAAGGTCATATTGACTTATTGACGTCACGGTATCTCGTTCTCGCCAGAAACTAAGACTTATCAATATTCTCGGCTTCAGATATCATTATTATAACCATGTGCAGTGTCTAATGGTAAGAACGAGCAGATATTCCAGCTCTTTTACCCGATGAATAACAAAAAAACTCGAATTGATTTTGGGATAGTGTTACCTAATGCCGTTGGCGATTGTGTTCTTTTTGTTACCGTGTCCTGTGCTGAAACAGTCTGTTGATATYACCTATTCTAACTTTTCAGAAAGAAAAGAAGAAGAATAAACAGAACGACTGGAATCGTCGCCAGAAAATGATTTGTATTTTATCTATATTATTGTGGATTTATACACCGTTATCGTCCGCTGCTCCTAAGTCTGCGTTTGAAAGAATTGAAGTAGTCAACTCTAGATATGGTAAGACTTCATTTGATACGTGTATAGACAATATTGACACTATTACCTTAACTCTAGCATCGACTTCAATAACGCTAGGGATTCGTGGGTTACTTATTAATCAATGCAAGCTGTTTTGGCATTTGTGCGCTAATTGCTGCCTTAATAAAACTATGTCCATCTTGTCCGTCTCATGGCTAATAGCCATGGAATCATATCGTACAACAACAAGGCACAGCAATGCATCGCCAAAGTTTCCATATGATAGGAGTCGTCAGCCTTTCCGAAGAAAGCGATGACAGCCATATAACAAAGATTCCAATCATTGATTCATGGTTGTATGTCGTGTCATGCCGTGTATGCAGTCTGCAACTGGTCCGTAAAGGCGATGAATAATAAGTACACATGAACAAGATTAGGCACAGATTTTCTTAATCTCTCACTGACGATCAACATTATGTGCGTGTCAAATTATCATGTAATTATCGAGATTATCTTTTTAATCAACATTATCGTAATCACAATCAATACAATGGCAATTGTTATCGCTATCATTATTATCTCTATTAGACTGGTTTTCATAAAACCGTTCTATATTTTGGAATTTTTCCTGTGTCCTTTCGGAAAATTACACAAAATTTAATAATAACTTTGACTATTACACTATTACTCTTTGTTTCATTGGTTTATGAAAACCGTTCAAATTTTTTATCTTTTGTTATTTAATTATTGCTRTTTGTGATATTAGACTTGTGAAGCAAATTCTAATAATATTCATGCGAGGTGCCATAATCCAAAAATATATTTTAAATCTCACGCGTTGTAATTAGACAATACTAACGTGTCTTTTATGTATTTCACGGGCTTGAAGAGATTTTCTTAAATTCGTGAATTACACTTTAGTTAACTACACCTTATAAATCCTCTTTATTTTGCACGTATTTCACGCTTTGACTTTTTTTAAAGCATATTTTGTTTCACGGGTTGAATGGTTTTATAATCACTTAGATTATCTTTATTTCACTGCGACGATCACAATTCCTTAATCATAATTTTAATGCTTTTTTTCAGCTAAATATAAAGATTCAGGTAGATTTTATCAAATTGATATGAAGATCCCATGGCATAAGCCAGTCAGCTCAGGCCAACTAAATGTACAAAATGCTGCAATAAGAAAAAATGAAAATAACCTATGGCCAAATGGCATCATTCCCTACAAGCTGGCGTATAGTATTAGTAAGTCAGATTGAAATTATTCAGTAATATTTCTGTTTCCCTTCGGTGGCCGGATTAAAGAGGTTTCACTGATAAATAACTTTATTGCAGGAAAAAATCCATATACTTACAGAGTTCTTATGGGCGCAATGAAAGAATGGGAGAATCAAACGTGCATTAAATTTGTGGAAAGAACAACTCAATCAGACTATGTGGAATTTTACTACGGTGACGGGTAAGACATAATGAATCCATTTCATTAAATTATTCAGCTTATATATGTACTGCTCTTTGTAAATCTTAAAAAGGCTTTATTTCACCTTTAACAAATATATTGATAATTCATTCTATGAACGAAAAATCATTGATGTGACTGAATTTTCATATGAGCAAGAGATTTGTCCTGATGAAATACGAATTGCATTTTTTTTCTCTCTTAAATAAATATTTTGCTACTTGCCGCTTTATGCCATAAAATGCCCATGAAAGTCTTCCGCTCATATTCCATACAGTCAAATAAACGAGCGACGATCCATCCATTTTGTTTAAATAATCCGATTAATAAAAATAAAACTTAGCTTTTTTGAATGCTTATATACTGATTTCTAGCCTTCCATGTTATCATTATAGGTGTAATTCCGATGTTGGTCGTGTCGGAGGTCGACAAACGACATCACTGGGTCGAGGTTGTGCTCATCACGGGATTGTTGTACATGAGCTTGGTCATATTATTGGATTCTGGCACGAACAAAACAGACCTGATAGAGATAGCCATGTAGAAATCCTGTGGGATAATATTGTACCAAGTAAGTTGGTTGTGGTTCTTATTTCATAATCAGATTCAAACTTTCAAAAATGGCGAGATATGTCACGGTTGAGGACCACGAGTCAAAAACTAAAGAAAAACTACTATCAGAAGACGACTTTGTTAAGTCTTTACACTCTTAGGATCGGGAACAAACAAGTGCGCAGTGCACCTCTTGTCTTCGAATCTAAAACAAATATGTAGTTAACCCATTTTCTAAAATAGAGCATGATGGGATACTTGAACTCTCCTCTGTTATGTCCATAGTGTCTACTGAGATGYGATGCCTTCTTTTTTTATCATTCATTTTAATTTGTATGTGGATTTGTTTCAGATTTTCAGTTTGCATTCACTAAATACAGCCGAAAGAAAATCAACAGTCTTAACGTTCCTTATGACTATTACTCCGTGATGCATTATGGATCCAAAGCGTTCAGCAAGAATCAAAAGCTATTAACCATTCGCTCGTTAAAGCGAGGAATCACTGAGTTTGGTAACACGCATATCAGCAAACTCGATGCTAAGCAAGCGAACCAGCTGTATGGATGTCCAGGTATATCAGTGTGTTTTGTAGGTTTTTTTGTTCATCTCATGCACAGCTGTTTGAAAGATTGTTCGTGAAAACGACTCAAGGGAACTGTGGTTGGGTTATTAGATGCAAACTAAGTGACTGTTTTCGATTAATCAAGATTACATTAATTAGTGATATATTCTTTATACAATCAAAATAACTACAACTTCAGAATGGTGATTTTCCCTGATAATAATTTAATAGCATATATGTCTTGATACATATGAGTAAACAGACAGTAAATGACAGTGGTCCATCGTTGTAGTGATATGATGATGTATTGATCATTTATGAATTCATTCTAATGTTAGACTACCCGAAGTTTCCTGGGGAGTTTTCCTGGAAAACCAATGGCGTCACCGATGGAGACACATCGTGTCTAAAAATAGATGAGCCCAAAGATCCTCATGATTGGCAGAACAACTTTCTTTGCTACAGGAACGACCGCAAATCCTTGAATTTAAAATGGTCTCACGAAGGACCATTGAGAGGCATGGAATGTATTCATATCAAGGCTAATGGGGCACAGCGGTATTGGAATGATAACTGTTTATGCTGGCCGCACAAAAGTGGTTATAAGTTCAAGTGGATAGTTGGCATACCTTCCTCTTTAGAGAAGAAGAACTGTTTGAATATCACAGAACCAAATGATCCTGTGTGGAGTACAAATCAATATCATTTGTGTCAGCACCTTGAAGAAACGCCCATAGGTTAGCCTACATATCTATAAATATGGAAAGTCACYTATACATGCTTACGACATAAACCGGAAGTAACTTAGGGATTAAAAAAATATTCTTATTGAATTTAACAAGAAGCAAGAAAATGTCCTTTTCCTACTGACAAGCAATTTTTCTTGAATCCAGGTGAATGGAATCCCTTGATATTTGCCATCTGAACACCTCAAGGGCCCTTAGGCCTCGTTTCAATTCCTTTGTTTTCTATTGTTTTCAATTCACTTCCGGCTTACGTCGTAAGCATCTATTGCAACGAGCTATGCCATCCCATGCATCACACATCTCATGTCCTCGCGTATTGATCATCATCGCTTTATAACTTCACGTTGCAGCACAATATCAATATTGTAGTTTTCAAAACACTGTAAAGCAAAGTGTAATAACCAAAGCTTAATAATGTGTTATCGATATACAGGAAAGAGAAAGAAAAAGACGTGCACGAAGAAGAGTAGTAAACTATTATTTCAAGTTAATGAAACCACTCTATAACTGTATGATGCCTAAGATAATGAACACTAAACCGCACCACGCACGTGATCATGCATTTCGGTCTAAGCGAGGCAACTTAACGTTGCGGCATATTTGTCATGACTTTCTTCTGTTTTTCCATTTTTCCTTTTTCCATTTTTGCTTATTTGCTTTTGTTGTTGCTGTTATTTTTTTGTGTTGAGACAATTTTTTGGCSGGGCTGATAATTTTTGAAGAGGAAGCAAGGCAGGCATTAAAATGATGACTGTTTTTTATTTAGATGGTCAGTGGGGAGATTGGGGACCATGGTCTCCATGTACTAGGCATTGCGGTGGTGGTATTCGTAAACGTACACGAAYGTGTAGTAATCCACCTCCAGCTTTTGGAGGGCAGTACTGCCGAGGACAGTCACAGGAACAGGGACGCTGCAACGTACGTCAATGTGAAGGTATTGAACTTTGAAGTTACACCTAGTCACAAGAACGCTTTCACAGGAAAGAGAACATATAAACTTTAGTAAAAGGAAGATCTGTACGCTTTCTTTTGCCTATTTAATATATATCCTTTTTACTAGATACAAATGTTCTCTTTCTCTATGACAACAGGTGGTACATCTAATAGTTTTACATTCATGCGTTTACTCAATGCTTCGTGTACATTTACTCGCAGAGGACTTATCTCTGAACACTCCTCGACCCTCGAGAACGATGACCGCAACCTTAATAACCTGATAAGCGTCATGGCCCTGAATATAGAGTTTTTGTTCGTTGCCGAAACAGCTTTTCTCCCGACTACATAGATTCATCTAATTTTGTTGTTTTATCTCAACAGACTGGCCTTCTTTTCCATCCGATTTCATCTATGCTTACCACCGATATCCGCCTCCAAATCAGTTATGCATTAGGACTTATGAGCGTCTGGACTATTTTACCTGGAATAACTATCTGCTTTGCACACCAAGCAGCAAACGAGATCTTGAATTGTATTGGTCCGATAGAGGAAAACTTCATGGGAAGATCTGCACCCGTATTTATGCACCGGAAGAAGCCAAAAGAATCGTTGGATCATGGGATAATAACTATTTATGCATGGCAAATAACAATGCTCCATACAGGTACATTCTTTTATAAGTGCCTAACATATAACTAAAGAAAAAAATAACTTCGATGATATGACGTTTTGCGATCTTACAACGTTTTTTCCAATAGGTGTACTGCAGATTAAAAATGTATATTATGATATAGCATTTACAGATATACTATTTTCTGTATCAAGGTTCAGGTTTTCTGCTTCTGGACCCATTAAAGACCTGGAATGTATGAGATGGTATGCTAAAGGAGGAAGAGATGGCTGGAACAAAACTTATTTATGTGCAGAAAAAATGTTCACTTCATCTGGTAAGTCGTGGTTTCCTTAGCATATCAATAGCTGTTCTGTTCTATCCAGTTAATACGGTCACCCCATCAAAGTGGCCACTTTTCGGTGTCCCTTCAGTGATCGGATAACTAGGTTCGACTGTAATACTTTTGTATTTTTTAGCAGAAGTATTAATAAATGGAGGATGGTCGGCTTGGTCAGGATGGTCGGCTTGCAGCAAGACTTGTGGTGGAGGGATTCAGAGAAGAACACGATCTTGCACTAATCCTGCCCCTATCAATGGAGGAAATAATTGCCAGGGACAAACCTTGGATGAGCAGGGCTGTAACATTAAAAGCTGTCCAAAGTGTAAGTAGCTTATAAAGTCTAATCTCACTCTTCTTGTATTAGTGAAGGGAAAAAGCAATTTTATGACAATTGCGGATTCTGTACTAGATTTCTACTCTCTCGCCATTGTTGCATCAGTAAAATTAAGCAATTACGTTAAACCATGTGACACGCATTTACCGGTGTCCCAATTCAATGATAAGATCAATCAAAGCAGTTTACTTACACTAATCTAATGCTCTTTAGCGTGTGGCGGTAAGCTTGTGGCTGATGGAGGACGATTCACTTCTCCTGATTTCCCAAATAATTACCCAGACAACAGTGACTGCGTTTGGATCATCAAAGTACCCCAGCGAAAGATCATTTCACTTCAGTTTCACTACTTGGACATCGAAGGTAAACAAGACATCATGGTATCATACTTCCACTTTCCCTGGYTAAAAGAAATCATACCTGTGATTGTTGGCTGTGTTAAGTATAGTTTGAAACACTCGAGGTCGTGTTTTATCAGGTATAAAGATTCGAGCCGAAGGCGAGAATCTTTATACCTGATAAAACACGACCTCGRGTGTTTTAAACGGCTTAAAAAACTCCAACACTAATTTGAAACTCAAATCCGTTAAAATTCTTGGAGAAATTGCCGTACAAATATGTTCAGAGATAAATGGGGCAAACTGATCATGCGCGAATCACTTTACAAAGCACGCTTGTCATCCCACATTGAATACGCATCAAGTAAAATAGAACCGCTCTTGGCTGTTCACTGAAATCGGTTGACATCCTGCATTGGTCAATGATCAGGTTTCAAACCTGAGACCTTTGCTAGGGTCATGGACCTTTATATCTGATAAAGGTCACCCTTATTAGTATTCTTTATATAAAGAATACTAATAAGGAGTGTTTTATCAGATATAAAGGTCCATGCATGTGACCAAATAGGCTCATTCTATTGGCCTAGTAGCATTAATTATGTATGAGTTTTTTAAAAGGGTGATACGTATCGTCTAGCTTCTTACGCTAACATACTGGACGTATTATAATCATTAATTCGTGAAATTGTAATTGTCTGYATTAACTATCAACCGACTTATGCAGACGATTAAGTAAGTTACGTTATATAATCAGTTGATAAAAAGCAGAATATATATTACCTTATAGGACCTTCGTGCATTTACGATTACCTGGCCATACGTGACGGTCCCAGTGAAAAATATCCCCGACTTGGTAAATTTTGCGGATCACGAATGCTACGAGGTTCTACAGCAAATGTTAAATCGACGGGGAATTACCTATGGATCCGATTCAAAAGTGACGATCGCATCAGTCAAAAAGGCTTCGACATATCGTGGACATCAAAACCAGATCCATTAATCAACAGAAGTCAGCAAAGAGTCAGTAAGTGCTTCATTGATTATTATTTTGGTAGCTTTGAAACGATGATATTGACGATGACAGGGGCGATGACGATGACAYTGATAAATACTTTATAACATAGATGTAATAGTACGAATGCTCTGATTGGTCCCATAACGTGATTTATTTCGCCGGTCAATGCACGCTGGAGAACATAACTACCTTTCTATATCATAAAAGCCAAAGAGAATTGACGTGCCTTTATCGGTGAAAAAGAGCACTTTTGGGAATGTTTTGAAAAACTCAAAAACGGCAAAATCACTCGTTTTCGTTTTCTCCAAGTATCCCTACTATGCCTTAGAAAATAGGGCATGGCACAATTCTTCAAGAAAATATTATTGCGGGTAGAATGTTAAAAACTCTCGATAGGGATGCCAGAAGACCATGCCCCACATGTTGCAAGCTAGTCAGAGCGCATGTACAATCGAAAGACTATTAACAAAAGTTCTGTAACACTTTATTTTAGGATGTGGAGGTTTCGTAAACAAAATGAAAGGATCTATTACAAGTCCAGAGTTTCCAGCAGCCTATCCACATAACATTGAGTGTACCTGGGTGATCAAAGGTTCTCCTGGGAAACGGCTGCTTGTCTGGTTTGATCATTTTTATATCGATAATACCAAACAATGTCATGGAGACTATGTAGAGATTAGAGATGGCGAATCAAGCGAATCGCCGATAATGGGAAAGTATTGTGGCACCAAAGCACCAGGTAAAACTACAATTGTTCAAATTGTAAACTTGATTGACTATAAAAATCAAAAAAACTATGGACAATCACAAATGCAAGTTTCTGATTGGCTACTGAATGTTGACGATTCAAGTGAAACTATGGTCACATCTAGAAAACCAAAAAAGGTTTTTCATATTTTATTTAAACTTTTTCGTATAGTTTCGTGGATGCTAAAACAATTGTTAAAGGCCCAGTGTGCACCATTATGCTTTGGGGCCCTTGGGCGGCCATTTTCAGTTTGCCGAAAGTCAATAAATTGTACTGTGCGTTTCGAATCTTTTCTAAGCACTTTAAACGATAATGTTAGAGTTTTCAACCATCTTACTTCGTTTTATGGTGATATTTGGATACTAGAAGTATTTTGGTGTAAAGAGGCTCGCAAAGCATTATGGTGCAAACTGGGCCTTTAACTCGACTATTGTCCATGCCTTGGAAGGCAGAGTCCAATATTTGTTTTTACTCTGACGTCACTCATCGTCTAATGAATTGACGTTTCTCCAAACTGACGTGTAAAGTCATTTATTTTCGCTGGACAATTTTTAACGCATCTTTTTATTTCAGCACCCTTTAAAAGTAATTCCAACAGTATCAGAATCAAGCTGATCACAGATTCATCGCGTCATCACCGAGGCTTTAGAGTGAGATGGCGAAGTGTTGGCAAAACGCGTGTCAAGCCAACAACGCCAGCACCATCAAGTGAGTACTTCATTATATAAACCGATCACAGTCTTTGAGTGAAGTTAAAAATCCAATGAAATAGATATTATACTAATGCACCATAAAAAGTCCTAAGCATTGTTTTCTATTGTGCCTATTTGAATTGTGTTTCACGGAATTGATGACTTCACTCTTGTCCACACTCCTTATCGCTATTTAACACTATTTGGTTTTTACGTTCTCACGATTTAAAGGCCCATCGAAGGCCGGGAGGCGGCCATTTTCAGTTTACCGAAAGTCTATAAATTGTACTGTATGTTTCGAATCTTTGACCATATCACTTTTCTAAGCACTTTAAACGCTAATATAAGAGTTTTCATGCACCATCTGAAATTCGTTTTATGGTGATATTTGGATACTAGAAGTATTTTGGTGTAAATCATAACAATAACGAGGCGCGCAAAGCATAATGGTGCAAACTGGGACTTTAAGTGTTTGCATAGGAAATCGCACGACCTTGAGTACAATTTTGAATTAATAGTCACGAATAATGTTTTGAAAGTTCTTCTTAATTACATGTGGCTGTATTTTGAACAGATGATAAAATGAGGCAAGCTGACTTTAGATATACATAAATTGCTCAATTCAACACGTTTTTGTCCGGCACGTTGAGCCAAAAAGGTCACGTGCAGAAGTCCATAATATATCCATTTTGCTAAGTACATCCGGCACCAACAGACGCAGGAATTTTCTATTTTTGGGTCTATAATAACAATTTTTCCCTAACAGATAGAAAAACACATATCGAATTGAGCTCAAGTGATTAGAGATTTGCAGTTTTACATAAAATCTTAATTTAGGAAACTTGTTTAGAGTTTTTTTAACTAAAAGTGTGTTCTATTTCGAGAAAAATTCCATAAATGTGTACAAAATCCACAGGGGCCCGCCTTTAGTTTAATCCTATTTAGCTTTAATATACCTGTGGTCATTGGATGAGCTTTGAAAATACGCTAAGCAGCCACAGAATGTATTTAGTGTTGTGTGCCTTAAAAAATGAAGATCATTGTGTTGTTGTCAGAATATACTAAAAAAATCCTAATAATCTCAGATCAATGCTTTTCCATGATGAATTTTCCATTATGCTTAGAGGATATTATGTGGTCGCATTGAGAATCGGATTTTATCTTAAATTCAAATCTCAAAGGGCCCATGTAATGTTAAGTATATTACATAGATTTTAAATTTATATCTACAAGGCAAGAAATATATAGTACACGTGAAATAACATGTTGAAATATATCATTTTTTCGCGTTAGAGATTTCCTGGTATTTCATTTAAGTTTATATGATAAAATTTGTTTATAATCAAGCTTCCAATGGCAACACAACTCGGAGATTGTAGGGTGATTSAAATTTTCTAACTTTCTTCAAAATGACTAAGTGCGATGTACTCCAAGTAAGTCAAGTACATTTCCGCGAACATTGTTTCTTAGACCAGCTTTAGACATGTTTATAGACGTTTTATTTCATCGGTTATTTTTCGGTCAGCCATTTTGAATCTGCGATTTTTTTCAGCGGCTATGTTTAAAAGTTAACAGGAAAGTGAGTGAGTGACACATCTTCCCCCTCCAATAACTCTTCGATTGCTCATGCAATCTCCGAGTTAAAAAGTTAGCAATGTTCTTAACATGATTGGGTTCCTCAGCCAAATCAATTAGATTCTGAAGTCAAGACCTATGTCCATCTCAAAACTTCTGTGATCGTTTCCTTTGTCATTAAATAAGATCCCATTACATTGAAATACAGTCTTATGATCTTCATAATTCAGACAGACAGACAGAAAGACCTAACCCTAACCCCTTCTCGTGGATCCTTCGCTACTTCACACAATCAACGTCTAAAAGTCACGTGATTGAAAATGATCAATTGTTTTCTAGGTACATGTCCTGCTGGGTGGGTGTCTCGACGATTTAGTGATAACCAAGTTTACTGTTATCTGGTAAGGAAACGATACCACACATGGTTCAGAGCGAGGCAAGAATGCAAGAATCTTAATGCCGATCTATTAAGCGTCTCAAGTAAAGAAGAAGAAAACTTTATAATCAATGATCTAAATCGTAATTTTAAACTTGGAGAGTCGTTTATGTGGCTGGGGCTGAACGACCATCTTAGAGAAGGACAATGGGCTTGGAGTGATAGGTAACTCTCATCTGTTTCGTTTTATATTTATTGCTAAAATAACATAATATTGACCTTGTCGCTTCGCTGCTATCATCTGCCACAAAAATGGCAAACATTGTAACCCGCTAAAACGTGTTGCCTTTTTTTAACCCGTGACAACGGGTTCAAAATCTAAAAATAAGCTTTAGTACTCTACTAGGTCTTCAACCARTTGAAAGGGTTCGCCAATCCGTTAGAACCCAACCCTGTACAACCGATTGACAATCAAACCCGCTAGAACGGGTTCAGAAACCTAAAAAGACCCTATATAATAACTCTACTAAACCACCCCAACCGGTCACAGCGGTTCGCCAGCCCCTCAGAACCAGCCGTCTTTTTTAAGGTTTCTGAACACGTTCTAACTGGTACATTCTTTACCGGTTTTAACCCTTTAATAGTCATGTTGCTAACGATGTTTTGATTGTGTTGTCTGCTAAATTCCGCGGCTGCTAACCCCGAAAGCAAGCTTTCTAGGTGTTTTTTGTAGAGAACATAGTCATTCCAATTAGGGCGAAATCTGAGGTGCACCCTTTTTTGCGTAAGACCACAACACTGGAAAAAGCCTGAATTTCTTTTCAATTTTATTGCACAAAATACTGCATTCTTGACAAAATTCAACATTAGAAGGAATGTTTGGTCCTTCTACTTTGCAATTACAATTTCTCTTTTGTATCCAGTTTCGTTGAGCAAGCCGAGAATCAGCTCTTTATTTAGGGTACACTCCATGAGCCAAGTGTTTCTTTGAACTTCACTGGCGAAAAATTGTGGGTAACGGTGTATTTATTCGACAGGAAGTGCCCCACACTATCAATCGAAAGTGTCGAGTCATTCGGTCCTACCAGGAATGTTTCAAGCCGATTGATCTCTTTAAAAGAACGATTTTTCCTGTGTTTTGACCGAGCTGATCGCTAGCCAAAGACACGAGCAAAAATCTAGCAGGCATCCCTTGAAAATGTGAGCCTACAGTTATAATAATCAGCAGCAGTTTCCTTGACAACATTTAAATTAGAACCCAAATCATTTTTTTAATAAAAGGGTTAATGTGTTCGATTCTAACGAGCTAGCGAACCCGCTGTAACCGGTTCGTGACCTAGTAGTGTACTTTTCTTTAACTATCTGAACCCATTCTAGAGGGTTGATTCTCAATCGGTTGTAACGGGTTGCATTTTTGTTGTGAGAGATCTCTTCACCACTAGAAGAAAAATCTCTATCTCTACGACCCATTGTTTGCCATTAATTTGCAGTGAACCTACTCTCTTCAATAGTGTGCCAATAAGAAGATATGCAAAAAGCGTTGAATATCAGTCAAAATAAGTATATTTAAATGTTCATATGGCTAAATAACATTATTTTATTCTAGAACGCCTAGTAATTATAACAACTGGGCGCCCGGTGATCCAAATGACGGAGGATATTTAAAGAACGAAGACTGTGGTGTTTTAAAGGCCGATGGACAATGGAATGATTACCCATGTAATTCAAGGTTTCGATATATATGTAAAGCCAAATCACGTAAGTCTAGTTTTCTTGAATGGTTACCATTATTCATCGAAACTGCATCTTTAAAAACTAACAAAGACTAGGGTTTTAATTTTGAGTCAGGTTGTAATGATAGCCAAAAATACGTCGTACCCCTACCTCCCATGTTTTCTTTACTTCTTTTCGTTTTAGCTTGCTAGGGTACAAAGTCATAAAGAAAGAAATAACCAACTTGCCATAGGCCTTTTCTGAGATGGCATTTTGAATTGAATTGTGGTCTAGGTTTTGTGCAAACTTATTTTGTTAATGCTGCCAAATATGGTGTTGTTTGTACTATTTCAGAAAAGGTATATGCCAAGTCTAGACCAGGTTGTACAATAGTTACTTGTTGTCTCGTAATCAAAGCATTAGGTCTGCGACAGGCTCAGTGTTTTAAGGAACCTCCTACTTTGTCTATCCTCCCCACGCACCCCCAGTTACCATAACCCTCTGCAATTCATTCAGTAGTCAAAGAAAGCTAATTGTAGAGACAAAATAAGTTAACTCCGTTTTTCTTTTTACAGAGAACTCGTAAAGACAAATAATACAAGGAACACAATGTACAGAAGATTTTTATTATGTCAGTCCAGCATTGATACCAACATGCAGTAGAGTCATGAGCTTCTAACATTCTGACTGTTGAAAAATTTCATTATGTCAGGTGCATTATGGGTAATTTCGCGTGATTTTTGCTCTTTTCCTGTTAAATAATATATCCAATCAATCACTATTATGCTTTTATAGCGTTATTCAAACATATTCTGTATTTTAATTGAATTGAATTTTTGATTTTTAAATTTTCACTGCCCCATAAACTGATGTATTGATATAGACGATATCCTAATTGAAAAATGTTGTCAGATTCCAGAAGGTTACGTCATGAAAGCTAAAAACAAAAGAGAGCCTGAAAAAACAAATACTGATTAATAATATAACAGTGTCAAATTGGCTAATATTATTCAAATTGGTAAATAATTAAATTCGCCTCCGACGACGATATCTCCATTTTCCGACCTGACAACATTAATTCAATTAAACATATCCYAGCGGTCAGAAGTTCTTAAAATGACTGTATATACAGCTTACACATGTATACATGTATGCACTGCCTCGAACTTCATTTGTAAATTCAACTCAAACAAAAGCTATATATAGATGAATTATTGAAGATATCGCACACAAAATATTGTATTAAATAAACCACAAATAAATTATAAATAGATTATAGAATAGGGTATTGCGAAATCACATGAAAGCATCGTCAGTGGATAACAAAAATCATAATTTCCAATATTCTCGTCGCATTATATATTTTCTCTTTTAAATGTCAACGTTTCATCATGTTATCCAACTTAGATGCTTTCACTTGATATAAAATAACTATTGCAGTTTTAATTATTGATATTAATAATAATAATAAAATCTATTCGTAGATAGATCTATTTACAATCCAATGGTTTTTTTATGATCACAGGTTATTTACAATAAAACTTGAAAAACATGTTTACCTTCTTTTATAAACATTATCTTTCCAAAAAAACGTTGTAGACTACCGATTGGTAAGTTTAATWTTTTTTAATGGCTACAAAAAAATCACACAATAGGGGGTCTTAAATAGCAAAACTTGATCTCTTGTTGTCCTTGTGCTAAGTCTGTTATAGTTGAGTCTCAATTTTGGTCTATGTTTTGATATCTTGCACTGATATTTCTTGGAAATGATTGTATAATACCTTTTTAAAAGAACGCGATGATGAAAGGGATCTATGATTGCACATGCTCTTTCCATGGAAATTAGTGCCAAAGTTTCAACAGATTCTAAAACTGCAATGGTAGGGACTGACAGATGGAAGTCATGCCATAAATTTCTACACCTACTTTCATCTAGCCTGTAAGAGTCAATAAAGTTGATTCCAATTGCAATGGCACCGTATCCAGTAAGACAATCCGCTATGCAGAGGTTTATCAGCAAGAAATATGCCCTTTGCTGACGAAATTTCTTCGCAAAGATGCAAAAACTTAGAACATTGACAGAGATAATGATTATGCCTTCCAGCANCACTGATATTTCTTGGAAATGACTGGCTGACATCACGTAAGCACTGGTAGCGCGAGTATTTTCTCTGTTACAGAAACACAGATATCGTTTTACTTGCTTCCTAAACTCTGGCATCTTCCACGTGTAGATGAGAAAATTTAGAAATGAATTGGAAAATGCAAGAAAGACTGCAACATAGTTCAAGTGTACATTGACGATTTGCCAAGACAAACTTTTGAGTATTTCGAAGATTCCCATCGGCAACATTCTTAATATATATGAAGCAGTGGCAATGAACAATGTCTTGCACAGTTTCAAGTGCATCTGCGTGTTTACATTCTGTTGAAAGGCAGCATGGAACTTCATTTTGACGTATATTGCCACATAGGAAACTATCATAATTATAAGGCATACGGCTGCGATCCCAACATTAAAGAAAAACGAAACAGCAACAACGCTGCTATTGAAACAGCGTAATATGATTAAAAACACTGCGATTGGAATTACAGCCAAAAACCAAGTCAATAGCACGGCGATTGTATAATACCTTTTTAAAAGAACGCGATGATGAAAGGGATCTATGATTGCACATGCTCTTTCCATGGAAATTAGTGCCAAAGTTTCAACAGATTCTAAAACTGCAATGGTAGGGACTGACAGATGGAAGTCATGCCATAAATTTCTACACCTACTTTCATCTAGCCTGTAAGAGTCAATAAAGTTGATTCCAATTGCAATGGCACCGTATCCAGTAAGACAATCCGCTATGCAGAGGTTTATCAGCAAGAAATATGCCCTTTGCTGACGAAATTTCTTCGCAAAGATGCAAAAACTTAGAACATTGACAGAGATAATGATTATGCCTTCCAGCAKAAATAACATAAACCACAACAATTTTCCGCCTTCTGAAGGATCTCTCATGTCCATCAAAAAAAAGCCACAGTGTTGATAGCAAATGATGTTTCAGTGCTTTTGATGAAGTTCTTTTTATAAAGATTTCACCATTACTAATATAATTAATATATTAGCGATTCACTCGGCGCTATTTCTAATCTAGCGAAAATTTTGTGTCCCCAAGATGGACCTCTAAGACCACTCCGGATACCCCAAAATCGAAATTATATCAATGTCGAGTGAAATTTCCCTTTCTGCCCAAAGTTCGAAAATATGAAATGTTGATGCGTATTGTTTTCTCCATGCCAGTAAGTATTATCTATGTTTTTAATTACATTTTAATAACTAAGAAAACAGTTCATGTTCATGTTCTTGGTATTGCAAACATTTTTGATTACATTTGATTACGACAACGTTAATATTTGATAACARAAGAGCACTTGAAGATTATTAAAAAATGTTTTTCATTTCCTGATATTAAATTGAGAATGCTGAATGACAGCTGTCTTTTTGCACATCTTAGTTTGATCGATAACATTTATATTGAAAGAGGCTGAATATTTGTATGTTAACAATGGATTTGAGCACAGCTGCTTCATGGGTCTATCAGCAAGAAATACTTCCTTTGGAGGTACAATTCGTTCCAAAGATACAGTTGCATGAAAATACTATTTCTAAGATCATTGACAGCTTCAAAAAAAGCAATAAAAACCTAAATGATCTAGTGTTTCCCAAAGGTCTTTTTAGACATTTCAAAAAAATGTCTTCTATGATGCTAGAAAAATGGTTTAATGCTTGCTAACAACCTTCTTCTCTTTTGAGCATAACATAATCTTGCAAAGGTCCGAGMAACATCATTAAATTTCTTGTTTGGTTGACACACTGTACTAACTTCAGGGTCAAAACATAGAACAGCAACACACACATAGACTTATCATTCAATCGACTGCGCGTCACTGTGGACAACGGTGCCAGTGGCAAAGAGASTTAGATTTATTCCTGAATCGTGTGCAGTACCGCGGACCACTGTACTCAGCCCTTAACAAACAAAATTGTTACGGCTTATTCCGTCGGTTATTTACAACCGAAAATGGATCAATTTCCCTGTTACACTGATATTTTAATTTCATGGGACCGCAGCAGTATCATCATTTGTATTTCTTCGGAAGGAGAGCGAAAAATATTTTTTCATCTTCTTCCTGAATTCTGGCATTTTCCATGTGTAGATGAGAAAATTGACAATAGAATTGGAAAAGACAAGAAAAAATGCAGTAACGHGCAAATGTTGATTGATTTGACAAGATGAGCCACAAGTATATTTGTACAATTCCAAMACTCCTATTGGCACCATTGTTGATAACGATGCAATAGTGGCAATGAATAATGTCTTGCACAGTTTTAAATGCATCTCGGAGCTCGCATTTTGTTGGAATACAGGGAAGAACTTTACCTTGACTAAAATGGCCACATAGGAAACGATCATAATGATAAGACACACAGACGTGATCGCAACGTTGAAACCAAAAGCAACCAAATGTCTAACACCGTGACAGCGCAAAATGATTGTATGTGTTGTAGCTGGAATAAAAGCAATAGACCAAGTCACTAGCACTGCTCCTCTGTAGTGTTTTCTTGACAGAACRCGGTGACAAAAKGRMTTGATGAYTGCATATGCTCTTTCCATGGCAATAAGTGCCAGAGTCTCAACAGATTCTAAAATTGTCAATGAAGGAATTGAAAAATGGAAGGCATTCCATAAATTTTCACATTCTTTGCTATTTAGACTCAACGAATCAACAAAGTTGACTGCAGTTGCGATGGGGGCATATCCAGTTAGAAAATCCGCTATGCAAAGGTTTATCAGCAAGAAAAATGTTTTTTGTTGACGAAATTTCCGTATAAAGATGCAAAGGCTTAAAAAATTAACAGCGATAATGACCAAGCCTTCCATTATAAACAATATAAACCAGAATAATTGCATGCTCTCCGAAAGACCTTTTTTGTCTGCCATGATGCCAGAAGAAGCAGCAACTTTTAAGAAATGTTTGGCGACAAGCTTTGAATGTTTCGACGCTTTTGATCAAAACTTATGTCATTCAATTCATCTTGTCAAACAGCATCAMCGTTTAACTATTAATGCAACATACTTTATTAATAAAAGATAGAATTTGTTTATATTTCGACATGAAAAGCCATGAAGTCTCTTAATTAATTTCAGTGAAGAAACCCATACATATAACTGCTTCTAAATCAAACCTTACATGTGTCAGAGATTAGGGTTTAAACGTCAGGAACCCGGGGGGGAGGGGGGGTACTCCCATATATTTGCTATATATTTGCTAATTGTAACTGAAGATGCAAAAAAGAAAATTCCAGTACTACTTGAGAATGGATATGCTGGAAAACTAGAAGCACTCTTTTTAAATGAACCAGAAGTAAATAACAAGTCATCAGTTAATCTTCTCGTTACTAACTTCTCCAAGACATTACAGGAATTAAGCATAAAAGCTGGTTTTAGGCATCATAAAGTTTCTGACTCTATTAACAATAATCAAGAGAATGACGTTAACCCCTGGTTTGATAAGGAATGTAAAACTGAAAAACAAAGTCTTATTCAAGCCGGAAAAAGAGTTTGTCAAAACCCGCAGAATAAAGAAATAAGAAATGACTTGATAAAACGAAAAAGGGAGTTCAAGAAGTTATGTAGGAACAAGAAAAAGACGCACTTTGATTCCAAAATAAAAGAGATAGATTTCAAAAATCCTAAGAATACCTGGAAACAAGTCAAAAAACTTTTTAATTTCAAAGGACAGAAGTCTTCAGGGAGTTCCAAAGTAGAAATAAAAGAGTTTTTTCAGCTATTCAAAAATCAGAATTCAAAAAACTGTCAGAACACAGAATATGAAATTACAGCTCAATGCTTGACAGCAAACGAAAATGTTGACAATTCTTATCTTAACTCAGAAATTTCTCCTGACGAAATATCTGATGCTATTCAGCGACTGAAAAATGGTAAATCACC